CAGGAAACAGACATTTAATTATAAAACATGATTTATTTTATGTTAATCTGAATCAATTTAGTGTTGTTTGTAAATATATTTGACAGTTTTGTAGGAATGAACACGTTTGTAATGTTTGTTCAAAATAAACCTGCATCTTATGACTTCTGGAACATGTTTTGAATAAAATATTATCAGTAAAAACCTCAAATCATGTCCTTTCTAATAATCATTAGAATTCTAGAAGAACTTTAACTCTTGTTAAAGGATAACAGTTAAAAATGCAACTATCAAAAAAACTTCCTCCTGAAAATAATTTATTTACCACATTTTAAAGACTGATTATAATCTGGGCCCTTAAGGGTTAATGCTCCTGAACAGGTCTGTCTGACCTGCGGTGTGGTGTGTGTGAAAGAGGAGAGGAGCTCAGCTCGTGAGTCCAGCAGGACCTGTACAGCAGCTGATTCTGTCTGGATTTGAGTTCACAAACTACTCTGGTTACTTTTTAAAAGTTGAGGGACATTACAGCTGCACTGCTAATCAGCTCTATTTATAGAACATGAACAGACTTGCGGGAACCTGGTCACACGCGGGGTCTGTGTTGGTGATTCTAATAAATGAAAGTAACTAGAAGCACTCGGAGAGTGCAAACCTCTGCCAAGACCAATTTCCCCCATCCTGTAATAAGAGTTACAAAGGGGCACACCAATACTACAGTGCCACCTGCTGGACACTTTGAAACCCACGCCCTGTGAAAGCATCACAGCTTTGCCGATCTCAGAGTGTTAAAAGAAAAAAATTCTGTAGCCGCATCGTGATCCGCAATATTACCAAAATTTAAAGGTGTGTTCCTTGGCCCAGTACCCACATGCGGTAAAAATGTCATGACAATCCGTCCACAAATTTTTGAGTAATGTTGTCCACAGACAGAATGACAGAACGACAGACAGACGGACAGACATACACGGCCGAAAACATTACCTCACCCTTGGCGGAGGTAATTATTGATAAGGTGACCATGCTGTGGCTTCACCTGTCGCATTTTAATTTAAAGAAAGAAAAAGTAGCTTGCAAAGCTGTTGCATCGGTGCTACGTGATTAAAAAAGCAGAGTTTTCATCACGCGTCTAATCACACGCACACACGTCTTTCTATCTATGTGAGGACCACACACAGCACTCAGCCTCGCTCTGCGCCGTATTTTTTCCTCCCAAGTTTGGCGAGAGGTGGATATGGAGAGGCGCAAAAAATAGCTCGACTTGATTTGGCCTTATTTCAATAAAAATGCCTACATGCCGTGAAATTCTTAGAGGGGCGGGCCCCCCCGCCAACGAGACGGCCCGCCCCACCTTGTATAATGGTAAGGGAAACGCTGATGGTATTGAGTCAATATCAGTATGGTATCGGGGCACCCCTACTGTAAATGGTAAATGGACTGTACTTATATAGCACTTTTCTATCCATCCAGGACACTCAATCTGTGTCCTCATTTACCCATTCACACAGCACTCTACCAGATCTCCTGCAAAGCTAACATGTACAATTATCTATGGAGACTAATCAGTGCCAATCACATTCATACACTGCTGGGACACACAGCAGAGGCATTAGGGGTGACGTGTCTTGCCCAAGTACACAACAACTGAGACAGCTGGATAGGGGATCGAACCAGCGACCTTCCGGTTCCAGGACGACCCCACTCTGCCACACAGCCGCCGCCGTAAATGCTCATCGTTTCTCCATAAATTAAAAACTACTCAACACCTCACAGATCAGGTAAACAGGAACAATTCTTCTGTTCAGGTTCTTACCTGGTCTGTATGTGACCAGACAGTGTCTGCTCTCCGTCTCCACCTGGATGTCGGTGCAGCCGGCGCACTCCAGCGGCAGAATATGTGGTCTGTAGTTGGTCTCGTTCACCTGCTCCCAGAAGCAGGCCCCCTCCAGAGAGCCGGCGATTAGACCCCCGCAGGGGAAAGAGCTGGACGCTGCTCGTGGCACGTAGCAGAGAGACGCTACGGGACACCTGGAGACAAAGGGACACATGTAGGAAGCAGAACCACCACAGAACAGCTGAAGCCTGTGGTTCTGTGGGTGTACCTGGAGCGCAGCGGCTGGAGCTCCTGGATGTATGTGCTGGTGTCTCTGGTGTCGTAGAGGAGCACCGAGCCGTTACTCAGACCGGCATAGACGTAGTTAGTGTTGTCCAGACACCAGCAGCAGCTCCACACTGGTTTACCTGTGTTATACGTCTGAACCACCGTGTTGGTCAGCAGACTGCAAGCACACGACACAAACATCACATTACTGCAGGATGAGTCGCATCGTTTGTGTCTTCTTCAGTCTGTGGTTGTGTAATTAATACAGACTGTAGTTTCAAGCTGAGTTTTAGATGCTTTCTGGCCACATCTTTGATCCTAATTACACATGTTTTTAAAAATCCAACATGAATCCAACTCAGGTGATGTAACTGCATGTGATCCCACCCCCTTCAGCTACATTTAACAGGGTTCCTACAGTTTGAGGCAAGTTAAATTTAAGACTTTTTAATGCCAAGTGAAATTAAATTTAAGACCAATTTCATTATAAACTCAAATGACAATAAAAAAAATAAAAACTGTCAGAAACTCGTGACTCAAAGTATTTTTGGTTGAAGTATTCAAATATTGCTAATAAACCAATTGTTTTTATCCATATCTAACTATAGCAGAAACATTCTTAGCAGTCAGTTTTGAACTTAAAGTGTATCTTACCCCCCTGTGAAAAGATAACTCCGCCCCAAGGCGAAATTTGAAAAATGCATCAAAGTGGGTAGGGGAGGGGGTGTGGGTAGGGGAGTGGGG